TGAGATATCGTTCTCTTTACATCTCAGAAGCAGTACTGACTACTTCCGCGTATAGCCATCGGTCTCGTCACCTCTCACACCGCACTTCTGTGGGTGATGTGTGCGCCGACGGGCCCGTACCTCAAGGGTGGCTCCCAAGCCCTCTCGCTCCTCGCAATGCGAGACACCGTGCGTGCCTGGCCGGGAGGTACAGGTGAATACAAGGTCGCCAGCAACTACGGGCCCACAATCGGCCCCGTGCAGGCCGCCATAGACCAGGGGTACGACCAAACCTTGTGGCTTCTCGGGGATAGGATCACCGAGGCCGGCGTCATGAACGTCTTCGTTGTACTGAAGCGCGACGATGGTGATGAGGCTTGCGGCTGTGTTTTATCGCTGACAGATGCGCCCATACTGACGTTTGTGACATAGGTGTCGATCTGCTTACGCCGCCACTGGATGGAACTATCCTCCCGGGCGTCACGCGGGACAGCATTCTGGCCCTCGCCGCTGCGCACCCTGCGCGCATGACGCTCCCTGAGCTCGCGCCCGAGATGCTCTTGCACCCGTCAGAACGTACCTTCACTATGCAAGACCTGCAGGCGTGGGTGGCTGAGGGACGCCTCCTCGAGATGTTCTCGGTTGGCACTGCAGTGGTCGTCCAGCCCATCGGGAACATCGGGTACGAAGGCAAGGACATCGCTCTACCGACGTTCGAAGGAGGGCGCGGTCCCATTGGCAAGGCTCTCTATGAGCGTCTGACGGACATCCAAGATGGACGCTTTGAGTGGGCAGGGTGGTCTGTACGTTGCGAAGACTAGACCGCAGGCCTGTGTTGGCATGTTCGTTGTGTTCACCATGGTGTCTTCTCTTATGACTAGCAAGTACTGCATCTGCATGACTCCCAATTCAGTATCAATCGCAGTCCTGTATACGTTGTGACGTTGATTAGTAGCTATAGAACGGCTGAATGCCGTACCTAGAGATTCACCATTTGCTTCCCACCAATCCCACTTTGTGAATAACGGAGTATAGATACTCTATGCGATCAGGATGTTTACTCGACTTACATGCGTGCAATGCTAGAATCCAGTACAACAGCGACAACTTCGACAACTTGAAGGTATGCAAAGGGGTGCGTGGTATGTTCCGATCTCGATCCTCCACAATCTAGCTAGCCAAAGGCGGCGAGGTCAGCCGTTCGTGCTGCTGCTGCCGCGCTTGCTGGCTACCAAGGATATACGGTGCGAAGACATGGCGTCTTCGCTCTGGTGCATAGCCTCGGCATACCTATACAAGAGTGAGTACGTCGATTGGTCCATGGAGTGGAGAAGGGCTTACAGGAGTTTATATCGCACAAGCTCAGACTCGAGCTCTTCGTGCCTTAGCCTTGCCCTCACGAGCTCGTTCTACGTCAGTAGTTGGTCAGTGCGCTCCTCAAAGGTCACTTCGTCGGCTATACTTACAAGGACCTCGCAGTGCTCCTTGTTCAGCTGTGCCATATTCTCCTCCAGTGCTTTCCTGTGTACCGTTTAGCCTCGGATCGACTGAGCACATGAACTGCAGATGCGTACACTTGTGCAGCTAGCTGCCTATTTGCGCTCCTCAGGCCATCCACCTCGATCTTGTGCGCGTCCCGCGCGCGGACGAGCTCCTCATACTCGTGTGCGTAACTATCGAGCATGAATGGCGTAATGCGGAGCGACGTCGCGTCGTGCACGAACTCGTCCACGCGGTACCTCACGTCCGTCTGGCCTTCCACAACAGGCCCCACCTGCCACATATCGGTAATGAGACGCGAAACAACCGTGAACATTACTGCGAACGGACGTACCTGGTATACCTCGAATACCCGAGTATTGAGGAACGAGAGGAGCTGGTCGAACTTCATGGAGAGCAGCGTCTCCTCGTTCTTGATTAGCAACGCCATGCTGAACGCAAACATGGCTTCGATTCCGTTCGCTAGACAGTTGTCGTATATTCGGAACACAATGTCCATGGGGAAGCTAGCAGGCAATATTGACTCTCGATACGATTACGCAGGTAGAGTACCACGTACCGGTAGCTGAACATTGTCAGGAACCATTGTGAGCAGTACATGCTCGCCTTGATGCCTTGGCGTACGAAGTGTAGGTGCAGTACTGGGAGGAGTTCCTCGAGTAACCGCTCGAACTGAAGATGAATATCTGAGCAGCATGCTCATGCACGGCTCCGAGATAGATTTACCTGGAACTAAACCAATACACTATGTTGAGTTCCTGCAGACGTCTACTCGCAATATGGCGCTTACCAATCGCAGTTGCAACTTGGGCATCTCGGGCAAAAAATGTCCTCGGACGTCGTACGAATGCATCAACCGTACAAGCAGGCAAAACGCCTCTTCATCTGGCATCTGGGTCATGATCAGTCAGTACAATCTGGATACGTGTCACCGAATCAGGAACGTACGTTGAGAAGGAGAATTGCCACGATGAAGGGCAATCCCTGACAGTACCCTACTTGTGGGTCATACCTGCGATGCGTGAGACGACATTAAGTCAAGGACGGAACGACACATCGACGCACAAGGAGTAAGCTTTGAGCACGTTGAAGAGATTCTCCTGTCCAATGCCGTGTCCGTCTGTGAAGAAGGCATGGTGCGGGAATGTCCTTGATGCGATCTCTCAGTATGAGGTAAAGCTGAAATGGGGAGCATATAGTACCGTCCAAGGTCCCGCATGATCGCCTTTTCATGTGGACTTGTCTCTTTCAACAGTCGGAGATATGTAGTCTCCAATTCTGGATCCTTAGATGCAGACCTGCAGGGAATTAGGTCGGGATTCACAATAAGCCCCGTCGCACGCGAGCATACCTACATTAGCTGCCAGACCATACCCCGCAACGTCTTTGGGATTCCCCGTTCAATTGCCTTGGCTAATTGCTCTGGATGTTCGGCGGCGAAGCCCTGGTAATCTATACCCGCGCGTCAGTCTGTTGAACATCCCCGGATGAGATGCCGTTTTTGAATACCATTGATGACCTGACCCCAGAAATCTATATACAAGAGTCGTCACATCCCCTTCGTCCCATGAGAGGTAGCAGCACGACGCACCCCAATCTACAGCGGCCTCTCCTTCGGGGACATGCTCCTTCCCTTCGCTACCGCCGTGCTTCTGGTAGAACTCTTCCCGTATCTTGTCGCCAAGACTAGTCGGGCGAGAGCTTGACCCATTCTCTGCCCCTTCTGACAGCCGAGACATGAGGTACGGGACATTGTTTGCGGAGAGGATCGTCGAGTTCGACGCCGTCTTCTTGTGTTGGCGCCAGTCATCAACGAGCGTGTTCTCTTCCGAGCCAGCGCCCTCATCCACAGAGACAAGGTCGGTGGGCGCGAGGGAAACCTTCGGGCTAGGGTTGGTGTTCAGGCTCTGCCGCGCACTGAGGAGGACGGTCGAGAACCGGGCCTCGTCGTCTGTAACGTCTGACGACGCGATAGATTCTCGCACCGAGAACTTGCCCTCCGTCTCCGTTGGAGATAGCAGCGAGTCCAGGCCTACAGGCGAGGTCGAAGGAGACTTGGCTGTTGATAGTGGAGGAGGGATGGACGCCCGCTTCTCCGGCGACTTGGTGGGCACGTCCTCCGCGGAGGGGTCTTCTTTGGATGAGTGGTAGCCTCCTTCGGACGAGCTGGTCTCTGGTCCGGACGCAGACTCAGCGGCGGAGTCTTCGAGAGGTTCTACATCTGCCTTGGGTTCCGTGTCTGCCTTGGCCTCTGCCTCTGTTTCGGGGTGCGTCTCCGTTGGCGCCGCTGAAGATTCCTCCGTTACCAACTCCGGTTTGGCGGGTTCTGCATCTGTACTTGAAGACTTCTCGCCCTCGGTAGAGGTACCAAGTTCCGTGGGTGGTTTGAGGGCCGTCACAGTTGGCAAGCCGGCCGAAGTTGGTGTGTCCACTTCTGTGGTCGTTAACGAAGTCTGCTCCGTTGTGGTGACTAGAGGCGCGAGCGTCTTGGGCCCATCCTGCGCTCCTTCCGACATCGGACCAGAACCAGTGTCTTAGGCGCAAGAAGCCTTCAGAGCGTCGCCAGGAAGGTGGTAATAGCCAATGGACCAAGCACGCAGTAGCAGGAATGCAACGAGGGGACTTGAAGATTTGGTAGAAGAGCGCAACAGAGTTTGGACGCGACCGGGCTGTGGCAGCGCCCGGTGTTCCCTCATCTTGACTTTTGACCATCACCATCATCTGCATCGCTGAGTGTGCGTCTCTACACGAATACAAATCCCTTGTTCTGTCTCAGAAACACGACTCGGACATCAATTCATTGACAAAGCACCAACGTCTTGACGTGATAACTTTAAGCAGGGATCGGCGTCGCCACTGCGTACACATCGAGTGCATTGTGATAGCCTTCGTGTCGTTCTGCTCGGTGCGCATGCATTGTCCCCACAATCGCTAATTCATTTGCATGTGCTGAGCTGATTCGTCGTATCTACTATCTGCAGTGTTGCAGACTGTACAATTCACTCGAGAGGCTGCGACCGCCTGTCATGTCGTCAGGGAATCTCTGGGACTCTGGGAATAGCGTGCACCCAGACACTCATCGCGGGGCCAGAATGGTCTGTCGAAGGGTCTGTCCAAGTTGCCATGTGAAGGCGCTCAACTATATAAGCTTGCCTTTATCCCCCCCTCACTCGCCTTGGTGTCCTACCTACTGAGGCCAAAAGATGCCTCCCGTGGGATGTCCTGCGTCTGATGACTATGGTGAGTGTGCACATCGTCTTGTAGGACGTCCATGACATCGATACGGCGGACCTCGAAGATGTCGGTACTATGCGATTCCTGACCTCGTCGTTCTGACGATCTCACGAACCATCGTGTCTTGATATTTACCAAGTCTACGTGAATATTATTCTGCTGAACGCGATAGGGGTACGGTTTAATGCCACGGTTGTTCCCTCTGGGACGACGTTCATAGAGTTGGGGATCCTTTACTACGCTTGCTTCCCGTCGCACATGTTGTGTTGTGGGTGTAAGGATCACAAGCCCCCGTTGTCTAATGGCTATGACGTCAGACTTCTAGGGCCGTATCCCTTCAATCTGGAGGCTGCGGGTTCGAGTCCCGCCGGGGGTAGTTGGTTATCACTTTTTGCCAAGTTGGTTATCACTTTTTGCCTCCATCCTATGGATTACTTACGTCTTCTAGACGCGTCCAGCAAACACGCGGAATGTTGGGCGCGTTCTGCTCAATTCTCACCATACATACACAGCCATAGCCGTTCCTCTCGGGTTGTAACGGCGGCGTCCGGCGTACGTAGTCCGCGATCTGCGGATGGTCGCGCAATCTGCGGAGGCACAGTGGCCCGAGAAGAGTGGACCGATTGACAAACGAGTTCGGGGCTTTTTTCCTACGACCCCGAGCGGGACGCCTTCATGACTGGCTGTATGTGGAGTCAGGCTGATTCTCGCTACGAATTGATGCCGTATACTTGAGGAGCGCTCCAGAGCATATGGTTCTCCCTCCACAGCGCGGCGATGAAGAGCGTTTCTTTTTCCCAAGATGTCGAGCGCAATCGTAACCGTGAGCACGCGTTTTGAACAAGGCGGACAACGTCTAAGCTACGGGCCGGAAGGTGAGCGCTGACACTGAGCTTTCACGGGCGTTGAGTAGGCGTTGAGTCAGCAGGAACGACCGGAGACGCGCCAAGAGCATCTCCGAGCGTGGTCAGCTTCCGGATATGGAGAAAATGATGGATGACGTCCGACGCCTTTGGCCGATGACGTCGTGTCTGGATTGGTCGAGGGCGTTGCAACGCTAAAGGCCGGCCGGACAGAGTCCATCGCGCGCGTCCTTTTCTTCCGGCCTTACCCTGCCGCTGCCGTCGCCAGGCCTCATATACGTCTTCACCCTTCTCCCGCAGACCCGTACGAACCGCATACACCCACACCCACATCTCTTTTCCCTCCACCACCATGGCCTCTCTCAAGAAGGCCCTCTCCAAGGTCGTCTCACATACCCGCTCACTCTCCAAGTCGAGCTCTCGCGATCTCACGAATGGCAACGGACATCCGCTCATGAACGGCCATGCCGACCAATCGTCCGAGCCCAAAGTCCAGGTGGACGACACTAACGCGAAGGGCGAGACTGCAGCTATGAAGCAGCAGTCGAAGGACGCAGTAAAGGAGCTCGACCGTCCGAGCAGCACTTCCAGCCGGCGTTTGTCATTCACAGAGCAGAAGGACGAGCGTAGGGCAGAGCGCGAAGCTAAAGATGAGGAGGAGGCTCGCTTGCGTAAGGAGCGCATGAAGAAAGCTCACGATGAGGTGCGTATTTCAGCATGACACAGATGCATGTAGGCAGGTCATCGCCTGCAGGGCGGCCCTCTCAAGTGCGCATTGCCAATGCGCAGACCCGCGGTAAACGTGTGGCGTAGTGTGTCGAGCCACTTAGACGCGGCTGCGCGAGGGCTTCTCAGTGCGGAGGCTCGAGGACGCGCATAGAGAGACGCTCGCCCGCTTGTTGTTCTGGATGATCGGTATGCCCAAACTGACGCGTCTTTTAGGATCCTTTGAAAGATAATTGGGGAGACATGCCTTTGATCATGTCACAACGGCGTGCAGGTAAGCATTTTCCAGGTGGTCTGATGTAGCCTAGCTCATATCGTACCAGAACGCAAGTACGACGACATACGAGATATTCCTCAGATGAAGGAAGGCGACCACGTCGTCTTTCGGGCTCGGGTTCATCATATTCGGCCTCTAGGCGAGTCTGAAAAACATAGAAGACCACGTGCAGGATCATTGACTATGTATCACAGGGTCGAAAATCGTCTTCATTGTTTTCCGACATCAGTTCACGACTGTGCAGGGCGTCTTGACCGAAGAGGCCGACAAGGTTTCCCAGACCATGGTTCGATGGGCTGAAGGGATTGCTCGCGAGTCAATTGTGCTCGTCGAAGGTGTCATTCAGCGACCACCACCGAACCAGGAGAACGTTCACAGCACTAGCGTACATGAGTACGAAGTCAGGATAGCCAAGGTAGGTGGCGCAGGTCAACGTCGTGGGATTAACTCACATATCCATGCGGCTTCTCAGCTATTCGTAATCTCCGCGCCCTCTACGACGTTACCATACCAGGTAGAAGACGTGTCGAGGCCAAAGGAGTTCTATGAGAGGGTGAGCTGTTTTCGGCCCTGTCAGGATGCACATACTCACCGCATATACCCAGGAGGACGTACACTTTGCAAGGGTGGGCGAGCGCACTCGTCTAGACAACCGAGTCCTCGACCTGAGAGTACGTGTCATGACCTCCGACGATATAGATTTACTCACGAACACCGCCATAGTCGCCTGCGTCTCAAGCAATCTTCCGTATACATGCCGGTGTCTGCGAGCTCTTCCGCTCATATCTCACTCAACATGGGTTCATCGAGATCCATTCGTCGAAGCTGCAAGGCTCGTCAACGGAGTCTGGTGCCGCAGTGTTCAAAGTCGACTACTTCAGGCGACCGGCTTACCTGGCACAAAGCCCGCAGCTAGCGAAGCAGATGTGTATCGCTGCAGACATGGAGAGGGTCTTCGAAATCGGACCAGTGTTCAGAGCCGAGAACTCCAATACCCATAGACATCTCACAGAGTTCACCGGGCTCGACCTGGAGATGGCCATTGACAGCCACTACCACGAAGTCCTCGATCTGCTAGACGATCTTTTCAAGACTATCTTCAGGGGCCTGCAAGCGCGATTCAGAGACGAGGTGAGGTTATTTCTAGTTATTTGTACCTTTATATACCCTGCATATGCTGGGTTCTCGAATATGCTCATATTGACGTCCGAATTTACGGAACAGATCGAGACCGTCAAGAAGTACTTCCCCCATGACGATCTCGTCATCCTTGACGAAACCCCCCGGTTGAGGTTCTCCGAAGCCATCCAGATGCTGAGGGATGCTGGTTGGACGGAGGACGACGGTCGCGAGCTCTCCGAGTTCGACGACTTGAGCACCCGTGCAGAACAGCGCCTTGGTCAACTCGTGAAGGAGAAGTACGGCGCGGACTACTACATCATCGATAAGTTCCCGCTCGAAGTCCGGCCATTTTACACTATGCCGGACCCTGACGACAACGTGAGTGCCCATCTGCTCCTTCAGATGAGAGAGTTCCTTGACTCACTTGGGGTATTGTAGCGGTGGTCAAATTCGTATGATATCTTCCTGCGAGGCGAGGAGATCCTGTCGGGCGGTCAGCGCATCCATTTTGCGCCCCTCCTCGAGAAACGGATGAAGGAGGATGGCGTTGATCCTGAGACGATGCAGGAGTACGTCGATGGCTTCCGCTGGGGTTGCCCTCCTGTGAGTCACTTGCCGTGTTCCATTCATGTCGTCCGTTGGCTTATCACTTTCATAGCATGGCGGAGGAGGAGTCGGCCTTGAGCGTGTCGTCATGTTGTTCCTCAAGCTCGGTAATATCCGCTGGGCGAGTCTCTTCCCTAGGGATCCGCGGAGCTTCATCAAGCGCGGCCACGATCCGACTGAGGCTGCATACGTTGCTGCGAATTCGCTCATCCTCCATGGGCCCGAGGCGACGACGTTCCAGCCCGGGAAGCGGACCGGCGAATTGCCACCTTTGGAGAACGTAAGTAGACTCACACTCGCCGCCGAATTCGAATTGCTTACTTTTTACGCGCAGCTTATTGCGAAGTATGGCGACGCGACAAATACTAGCTGGACCGACCCGGCGTGGACTGTGTGGCGCGACAAGACCACCGGAGCGGCCGTCGGCTACATTCCCGAAAATGGTTTCGCCGTAACCTTCGGCAACCCTCTATGCCCGACCGAACAGATTCCTCGTGTGGCGAAGGCGTACCTCGCGCATCTGCACGAACAGGGGCTTAAGCCCGTCTGGTGTTGCGTCGACAGAAGCGTGGAGAAGTACCTCGCCGAGGATCTTGGCTGGTCTGCCGTCATCGCAGTTGCGGAAGAGCGCCTCAACCCGACCGAGGTCGATCCCGCGGAGCACGACAAGACAGTGCGCCGTAAGATCCACCGCGCTGAGCGAGAGGGTGTCAAGATCATCGAAGTGGGCCAAGATATGGACCCGAAGGTCAAGGAGCAGCTCGAGCAGCGCTGCAAGGACTGGTCCGCGGGCCGGAAAGGCACTCAGATCCATTTGACGGGTGTACGGCCGTTCGACGACATGAAGCATCGGAAGTACTTCTATGCTGTCGACAAGGACGGGAAGGTGAGTATCTTCTGGCGTTCTGGTCGGATCCAAGCTAAATCAGCGTACCTTCCAGCCTTGTGCCATGGTCGTCCTCGCTCAGCTCGCACCCAGGCACGGCTTCCAGATCAAGTGGGCGCTCGAGTTCCCGGGGGCGCCGCTCGGTGCGATCGAGTACATCCTCACCTTCGTCATTAAGAAACTTGGAGACGCGGGCGTAAAGTCTGCGACATTCGGGGCGGGCGCGATCGACAAGCTGCATCCGGCAGAGAACATGCACGGTTTCAGGATCAAGACGCTCGAAAAGGCGTACAATGGCCTGTCGTCGACGTTCAACCTGACCGGCAAGGGCGACTTCCGTAGCAAGTTCGGCACGTGGCAGGATCCTGTGAGTGATGCATTGTTACTTTTCGACGTGTGGAAGGGTATTGAACGTACGCGCTTCGCAGCTGTACATCTGTTACCCGAAGGGCGGCCTTGGTATGAAGGGTATCGAAGCCATCATGGCCATGCTCCAAAAGCCCAAGTAATCGCTCTGCATCCCCTGCCTAGATCGGCAGACGCCAACCGGCTCCGATCATGAGCCATCCTCGACGACAGCGCATCTCTTCTTGCGCCTTTCGACCGACATCTATCACGTCTTACTGTATTGCTTCAGATTCCCTGCCCTTGTACGATGACGGATTCCCTACCTCTCCACTCTCTTCACTCCGTATACCATCCACGAGATTCGGAACTTCTTTCTCTATAGCTACGTACTGGTCATGTCTTTCCATGTTGTGTTTGTGCTTCACCTCTCACCTACGTCGGGACTTCGAGACGTTGACCTGATCTGATTTGTGCTTACTAGTTTGCTTGCTGTTCCGGCTGTTGCGGTGCATATATGCTGCTTAATAGTGCGGGCATCGGTAGAGTAG